GGGGGAATCCCCGAAACACAGCTCAGACAGCCCATGCAGGCTATCTGAAGGGTCCGCGCAGCCATGTAGCGCAGACCCCCCCACCAAAATAGAGGCAGGCAGTGAATATGAAATAGAGCACGAGCTGGCCAAATATATACCTGAGATTCGAATTCAGGTCTGTGCTTCAGCAGTTATGGGTTGCTCACGTAGCCAGGGCCTATTGGTCTCTGCAGGTGACTCTTAGGGCTTGGCTGCACTACTCACCAAATGTACAAAACTAGAATGAATATTCTGCAGAACATGGAATAATACGTCGCCAGATGTTTTGTCTTTTGTGCATGTGGTGAGTAGAGGCCCTTAGGGCCACTGCACGTATTCCTAAGAAAAGAAAAAAGAGAAAAAAAGAAAAACCAAAAAAATGATAAATGATAAAAAAGAAAAACAAAAAAAAATTAAAACAAGAAATTTCTCGTTTTTCTTTTCTTAGGAATACGTGCAGTGGCCCTAAGGGCCTCTACTCACCACATGCACAAAAGACAAAACATCTGGCGACGTATTGTTCCATGTTCTGCAGAATATTCATTCTAGTTTTGCACATTAGTAGTGCAGCCTAGCCCTAAGAGTCACGTGCAGAGACCAACAGGCCCTAGCTACGTGAGCAACCCATAACTGCTGAAGCACAGACCTGAATTCGAATCTCAGGTATATATTCGGCCAGCTCGTGCTCTATTTCATATTCACTGCCTGCCTCTATTTTGGTGGGGGGCATGCGCTACATGGCTGCGCGGACCCTTCAGATAGCCTGCATGGGCTGTCTGAGCCGCGTTAGCGGGATTCACCCACCCACTCTGAAAAAAAAAAAAGAAAGGAATTTTCACATATGGCGGGGGTGATGCGGTAGGGGGGGTAGGCCTCTGGTCTTATTTTTTTTTGCAGTTTGGGGGTTCGGAGAATGAGGCGCACCACCCCGTGGTCCCTAACGCGCGCGCACACCCCCTGGGGTCGCGTTCATTTTTTTCGTGCCACGTGCCGAGCAGCGCGTTTGAACGCGAATGAACACGGCCCCGGGGGGTATGAACGCGCGCATTTGAACGTGAACGCGCGTTCAGTGCGTTCACCCGGTTACATAGGGTGTCGGGACTGCAGACATGGCACGCTGCCTACGTGGCATGGCGCGAGGGTGCTGACATGGCATCCAGGGATTGGCAGGGTATTGTCTGACGTGGAACGTACCTGTCGTGACTTACCTGCTGACGTGACGCTCCACATTCCAGCGGTATCTGACATGGCATACCAGTGGTGGATGATCTGGCAGTTGGCGCGTTGCTGACGTGGCACACTTCTTGACAGCCTACTGGCCATTGAATGCTGACGTGGCAACTCCGCGGAGGGGTGCGGCGTTGGCATGCCAGGGTGACACGTGGCAGCGGACGTGCCCTGCCACTGGTGAGAAGTTGATACTTGCACTTGTGTGCTGGCGGGCGGTACAACATCACGATTGTGCCTGGCCGCAATGGTATCTGCAGATGGTGCAGCCGAAGAGGAAAGGATGCTGACATGTTGATTGATTGATCCTGTTGGCTGACTTACTCACTTGTCTTGGCTGCTTTGTAGCTGCTGTGCATACTCACCTGTGTT